TACAAAACAAATGTGGCATTACAACTGAGTATTAAAAGGCTTGACATTTACCAAGGCTCATTTATATGGCTGCTCATACTTAGCTCATTGGCAGCCCCCTTTACACTGGGTAGAGCAGGATTGAGAAGGCTGGGCAAACACAGTGGGGTGAGCCGTTAACGGCCTGTGGGAGGATTGTCCTGTAGATGAATGAACACCTGGATTAATGGGGTCAGTGAGCACCAAGCTGCTGAGGTAGGAGATTCCCAGCCAAGGCAGCCATTTTACATTTTACTTTTACTGCATGTCTCATGGAGCGTTTTCCTCTGCTGGTTTTAGAGGGAGCAGCAGGAGGGTCCCATGGGGGCACAAGAGAGCAAAGAAAGGACATTTCTGGACCTGTGTAGTGTATATAGGACATGAGCAGTGGAGGTGCTACTTACACAGTTATGATTTTATGAACCCTCAGCCATTTCAAGGACATGGCCCCATAAGAGAAACTGCGGTAGGTTTATGCAGATGTATAATCATCTTTACAATGGTTAAAGAAAATATTTAATTTGTCAGGAAGTGAACTTAATGGGTGAATGCACTGTCTCATGATATTTCACTGTGAGGAAATGTACTGTATACAGTTTTTCTGGGGTAGGCAAGGTGTCATTTTTCTGATTACTTTAAACATTTGCACCATAGTCATAGTCCTTTGGGACTAGACTACTCTCTGAAAGTGCTTTACAATGCAAACTAAACAGGGAGGGTGCTGGTCCTTTAAGTGGGGCTCTGCGTGCTTGGCAGGCTAATAGATGCATTCTAAAGGTGCTAGTGGATGGCAACCTGAAAAATGGTCTTATCTGAAAAGGTCCAGGACAGTTATAAATGAAATAATCGCACTCTGCACATTAATCCATGTTCATGCCCTAGGGGAAGACCTCAGCTCACCATTTGATCTGTGTGTGAGTGCATGCATACAGTATGCATATGTGGGAGCACATGCATGTCTGTGTATGCATATGTATTTGCAAGTTACCAACCCATTTCACACTTTTATTTTCTTTTTTCCTTCCTTCAGTCACTTTCTTTAAGACCTAACAGCAAAGGTTTTATTGTTCTTTCTGAGTTGCTTTAAACAAGGAACTCAACCAGGGGTGCAAAAAGAGAGAGAAAGGTATGAAGACAGGAAGACAACCAAGAAAGACAGAGAGGGAGAGAAGTTAGAGACATTTAAGACATTTAATATGCAATTTGGCATGGCCACTGGACCGCCACAGTTTAAATGAGAGGAAGTTATTGCTCATAAGGTTCCTGAAGTGCCAGGAAACCCAGACTTGCAAGGGAGAGGGGACATCTGAAGGACAGGAGAAAGACTGTCCTTGTTTGATGGGACATTATTTCCATGATCAGAGGCTCATGGCATATGAGTGAGAGTCATCACAACAGTTTATTGATTCTTTTCTATTTTCTGTTTGCAAGAAGATGCATGAATGGACAGCTGTTTAGAGATCACCACCAAAAAGTTAATCACTTCACACCTGCAACATACAAATGCTTTTGTATCTTTCTTATGATTCACGTTACTGTACCATTCTATTTGGAACACAGACAGCTGACACAAATGACAAACTGCCATTAAAACACTTTTTTTTATCTCAAGTATAAGTGACATTCAAACAGTAATTTGTTTAAAAAAAATACTATTACAATACTATACTATGATTATATTTGCACTGTAATAATAATCTATCATTTGTCATACTAAACTAACAAAATTGCTCATGTGACTTCAGACTGATACATGACACAAGTACATGGATTGGTTGACTGAGACAGGAAGAGCAAGGGGAGAAATGAGGAGATTCTCTCATATACACCCTCAGAAATCAATTTGCTGTACTGGCATAAATTCAGCTTTTGCTTTGTGTTCAACCAGCCAAGCAACCTTTTTCTATTAGGAAGCTTGGGGAAATGAGTGACATTCTTCTCATGAACTGTTTCTCATCTCACAGCATAACCCACTGAATACAGGAATCCAAATATTTGAGCAAAAAACAGACAAGTTAAAATTTAATCCAGACTGCCATCTAGTGGATATGAATCAACTGTACCAACCATGAAAGCACATTCTGGAAGAATGGGTAATAAAGGTAATTAAAAGCTGGGTGGTGTCCCAAAATAGATAATTTGGCATCCAAAAAATAGATATCATTCATATAGGGACTTATAATGTGCCTGTCCTAATTAAGTACACTATTGTTTGTGATCTCACTTATGAAATGTATTTTTCAATCTTCCCTGGTAAACACATTTCTCATGATTAGCAATTAAAGTGGAACTCTAACAATTACATCACTCCCACAAAGATGAGAGACTTGTATGAGACAGATTTGACAGAAAACTGTCAAAATCAATGTAGCAGATGCCAAGATATCCTGACTATCCTAGTATGGGTCAAGCTTCAGAAACACTATGCGTTATGCAACTCAGTGGTACCCTTTGTTAGATAGCTGCCTGAACAATACTCAATATCTTTCAAAGGCCAAGCAATTTCTGTTACAACAATTTGTAGTCTTCAAGCTCAAACCAAGACTGCTTAAGTGATGGAACTGGAGTGCTTCTCCAAGTCTTTACAAAGCTCTTGTACAGCCACAGCATTCATCATACCACTGACTAATAAACTGATTTTGACATGTAAAATTGGCAAAGTCTGCTATTGCATTTCCTCTGATACATCTAGTTGCCCAGTTGGTATTTGCATATAATTTAATAATAATAACTTTTATTTCTAATGCACTTTACATTTCAACGAAATCTCAAAGTGCAAATAAACCCAGATTGCCATGCCATATGTTTATGACATGGCATTGTTATACTATTTGACACAATTATCAATACTTCAATGCTTACTAGCTCATTATGGGTATGTAGATCGGAAAATGGATGAAGATAGGATCCTCCTGACTAGTGTACAGTCAATTGTATTCCTTAAACTGAAATATAAATGAACACCACTAAGATGACACTGTACATTAATTTATCACTCATATAGGGACTTAATGTGCCTTTTAGACCTCTAGTAATGGTAACATTTTATGTAACTGTAATAGTAAACTATTGTGTACCCGTACAAGGCAATGCTGCCACCCAGTGAGCACATCATGAATGTGTATATTGTTTTTGTGAATTATGGATAGGGGTTAATGTGGTGTTAATAAGATTTTTTTGTTTGGCTGTTCACAGAGTAAAGTCAGACCAAGCAATGTTTCGTCAAGTTTGAAGAATGAGATCTTGATTACAGACAACTGAGAAATTATTCTTGGTTTACATTACTTTTTGATTATTTTTTTTTTTAGTTCAGGTTGTTAGAGATCAATACTTTTCTGATGAACTCCTCAAATGACAATGCTTGAAATAAAGACTTTGACAAAATATAAATGTTTTAGTTTAGGCAAAAAGAAACATGTTACCACATGAAGTGAACGTTTAACGTGAGTTGTTTAAAATAAAAATTGAGCCTCAACAGAATCTCACCTAAAGAGTTTAACAATAGTCCTATCAGAAAGATTAGAAGTGAAGTGTGAGCACCTTTTTTGTATTGTAACATTGTTTGATGCTTTCACTTATTTAATATCCAACAGTGCCCACACTGCTAGCACAGCAGACTTCATGTATGCCAAGATCATGATGGCACTAGTGAAGATGTGATCTCCATTTACATTGTACGGCTTTGTAAGAACTCAGATTGTTCTGTACATTTAAGTAAGCTTTATAACTACAACTTTGCTATCAGGGGTATGCAGTAATAGGGAGTATAACTATAAACTATATGCTTGTGACTATGATTTCTATTCTTCCATCCATTTTTTGCTGCTTAACAACTTCTGTGTCACAGTGGCAATACCCAGCTGAGGGATCATTCCCAGGCCAAGCGTCACAATGCTTCAATTGAAGTGGTTGTCAGATTGTGGAACAGCATGGGAAACCCCCTCCCTCCACACCTTTGACATCTGAATTGACATCCCATAATTTTTGTAAGTTTTCAAAAACTGACGATCACACCCACATCACACAGCCATTGGACAGGTGTGCAGAGGCAAGAAAAATAGGCAGGATGTTCAAATGAATGCAACACTATGAATGTCATTGAGGAAAGATTGTCCAAATGAGTGTTTTTATCCCCAATATTTGAATGACTATCGAGTCTTGCCCCTCTATGAATGCAGGCTTTTCAACCCACCTTTAGGTGTGGCCTTCAGAACAGCTAAAAGCAATTTTGCCATTAGACCTGGTCGGACAACATGTCATACGAACTTTGGAGCAAAACCCGACCTGTACCCTCCCTGTGACTTCCCCAAGTTAGCCTCCACAGTGATGGAGCCTCTTGATTAGACTCCTTCGGGTCAGGTTTTGCTCAAGCAAATGAAAAAGAAATGAGTGAAATGCTGTCACAGAGAGGCAGGGGATATAATATTGTGTAAATATGGGGATAACAGCACATATTTCTGAATCTATCTGAGCATCTGACAAGGAGAAAACTGCCATTTTAAAATACCAAGGCTTGTTTTCAACACATAGGAGCAGAGGTTCTACACAAAACCGGATATCTGAGCTTGCCGCGCTGTCTGACTGTGATTTAAATACTGAGAATCTAACCCCTATACACACAGACACACACACACACACACACACGCACACGCACACACACACGCAACATCCTACATATGTCAGTGCTCCACAAACAGCTTTGTTTTAGATTTGGACTATAATCAACCTTTGTCCTCAGATTAACATTAACCCCCACTGGTGGTATGGGATCACTATGCTAATCACTCCTAATGGCCAAGGCTAGTAGATGAGAGCACTTGCCTTCAAAGATTATCAAGTAAAAATAACACCCAAAGGATTTTGCTTTGTGCTATAGTTTGAATCACATGCTTTTGTAGTATTTGTAATTACAATTTGTACTCCTTGGCATTACCCTTAACATCTCCGGAAACCTTAGTGAAAGAGGGTGGTAATGCTCTTACAAAGGTTGATCTTGGCGTGCACAGCGACCATGGTCACGGGGCATGGAGTCGCATCCTCTGCTGTTAACTGGCTGACGGAATAACAGAGGTGGGTCTGGAAGTATTAGAAAGAATAAAGTTAAGATTCAAGAAAGGTGCAAGTGGAGAGATGTGAAAGGCAAATGGGCCGTATGCTTGTACATTCAAATGTTATTCAAAGTCCTCTTAGCTAAGTTCATAGACGTCACAGATTTAAATATCCCTGAAGACTTGAAGCAAACATAATGTTACTATATAACTTCTCTGGACCTGAATGTGTCAAAATGGGATAATTACTTTCAGAAAGAAACCTTTGTACAGTTAAGACTATGCTTCTGATTCAGTCACCCACATGCATTCACTCTGGTCCAAAGCAATGTGAAAGAGACTCTTTGTGAATACAATATTAATCTTTACATCAAGTCTGTAACAAGCAGGAAATGCTATTCCGAATGTAATTACATTTACACAACAAAAAATTCAATTAATCTTTGACAAAAATCTGTTTGAAATGGGGCTCAAACAAGAAGAAGCAGTAGTGGGGAAGGCACCTTTTTTTTCCCCCTGGACATTTTCTAACTAGGCTGTGGCTCACCAGCAGATCAAAGCTAGGATAATCCTAGGGCTGGATGGCGTGGCTACAAGTATATGAACCTAAATATGAGAGTAACAACCAATAAGGAGTCAGGTTAACAAATGAGTGTGTCAGTGTGAGTTCCAGGAAAGGAAGACATGGGTGGAGGAGAAAAGATAGAGGTGAGTCGTAAGGGGAAGATGTGGAAGAGATAAAGAATGAATCTCAGCTAAGTGTGTCCCGGAGAAGGATAGGGAGGAGGGGAGGTTTGTGGTTGGTGCACTGGTATGTGACGTCAGCGGCTTGTTGGATTGAGGTGCTGTGTCCTGCTGATTTTAATCCTAACTCATTAAGGAACAGAGAGCAAGTGCCTGTGCAAGCCCTCTGGGGAGAGAGAGAGAAAGTGACAAAAGAAGAAGGAACAAATCTATCAAGGGAGATCGGTGGAGCTAATTGACTGCTTGAAAGGCGAAAGAGGGGACAAATCGAGCAATTTTATTTTTGCTTTTCAGTCTCATGCCTGCATTCCCTCATTACCCTTTCCCTTTTTTGTCCTGAGCCTCTTTACTTGCAATTTTTACGTGTGGCCTGTTCAAGTATGCCAACAAACGGAATTAACAAGGCCCTGAAGCTGCAGTTTGGCCTCATCAACTATGAGAATCGCTACCTGACGGCGGAGGCCTTTGGCTTCAAGGTGAACGCCTCGGGCATCAGCATGAAGAAGAAACAGATCTGGACATTAGAGCAGGATGAGCAAGATGGCCAAGTAGTGTTCCTCCGTAGCCACCTGGGACGCTATCTGGCTTCTGACAAAGATGGGAAGATCATATGTGGTGCAGAGAAGCCTGACCCTGAATGCCGTTTCCTTATTGTGCCCCAATCTGACGGGCGCTGGGCGCTGCAATCGGAGCCTTACCTGCGTTACTTTGGAGGCTCGGCTGACTACCTGTCCTGCTTTGCCCAGGTCATTGGAGAACAAGAGCTGTGGGCTGTCCACTTGGCTTTACACCCGCAGGCCAGCCTTCTCAGTGTGGCACGTAAGCGCTATGCCCATCTGTCTTCTTCAGATGGAGAGATTTCAGTGGACAGCAACATCCCCTGGGGAGTGGACTCCCTGGTCACCTTGGTATACATGGACGGCAAGTACAGCCTGAAGACTTGTGACAGCCGTTTCCTCAGCAATGATGGCAAACTGGTGAAGGAGAACACCAATACTACTAGCTTCACACTGGAGCTGAAATCTGGCAAGCTGGCCTTTAAAGACTGTGATGGGAAATATCTTACCCCAGTGGGTCCCACAGGAACGCTACGATCTGGCCGATGCTCCAAACCTGGAAAAGATGAGCTGTTTGATCTCGAGGAGAGTCATCCACAAGTTGTTTTTCAAGCCGCAAATAAAAGATTTGTCTCGGTCAAACAAGGTAATCAGCCTGTGATGCAGTACTGTAATCACATGTCTTTATCCAATGATAACAAGCCAGTTTGATATTTAAAAAATGTTATAGTTTCACGCAGAAAATGGTTGGGAGCTCTGCACTGCAGTGTGATGTTGAAAATCCAACGTTAAGCACTGAGGATCTTTAAAGTGGAAATGACTTCCATTGTCCAAGTCATATAGGTAAATTATGAGCTACAAGCTACATTTACCTAGAGCTACTTTTAGAGGCTCCATGATTTTACACTTAGGGAAAGAATAAATTAGGCTATAAATATAACTTCATAGTTAATGCATCACTTTTGACAAAATAAAAAACAATCAATTTCCTTTACTATGATTTGGCAATCACTATACACCAGCTGCAAGTCCTTCACCACAGTGTTAGCACGTGAGACTAAGTGAAACCATTTTCAGATCCTTTAGACCGCAGTGCACTTTATTTTGGACAACAGAATGTGCACCCTTTTTCAAATGACCCTTTGATAACCTCTCAGCGAGATAAATGGTGTTGTGATTTTTTCTAAAATTCACAATCTTGTCACAAATCACTTTCACAGTCTGTGGTGAAATGCAATTGTCATCAATAACTGTTGATTTCAGATTAGTGGCCCTCTCAGATTTAGTCTCCTTTCAGCACTCTGTTATCCCTGCATTTCTCAGTTCAATCTCTAACAGTTTTGTAAAGCTACCAGAAAACTGAACAGGCGTGGCTACACAGACTGTTGCATTTTGCAGGTTTATGGATTTGAAGTTAACTAAGAGTCTAGCCTTAGCCTATGCAAAATATCTAAAGAAGATAGTACAGCACATGGTGTGCCTATTGCAAATAAGAATATAGTACATCCCTGAGTGGAGCAGTACCAGTGCTGGGTGTGGTGGACATTAAGTGAATTGAAATATCACACTCTGTATAGTTATTCAATATAAGATTCAAATTCACTTCATATGACCTGAATTTATTTAATTGAATATTTACAGTTACAAAAAAACAGCTAATGGCAAAAAGCCCTGCTTTTCCTACGTCCAGAATGGCTGACAGCCATACTGTGGAGGTGATCGTGGTAATGGGCTTTGTCATTTCCACTGTGTGTTCACTGAAGATTAAGCAGCATGCAAATGACTCTAGGGCAGATCTGTGCCCCATGGGTGTCAGTTACCATCAATGGACTTAAAGCCTTGCAGCTACTCGCTCTTTACAGTCACCAATCTAGTGAATTCTCCAAATTTATTGTCGGCCAGTGTGGCAATTTGGTGGCAACAAAAATGAGCTACAGTCAACCCTTACCAGACAGATCAGTTACAAGGTCTCCTGTCAGCCTGCATGGTGTGATCTGTTCGGTACTATATAATTATTTCAGCAAAACAATGTAGGAGGACAGGAGAGCAAATTGTGCTTGTGGCCAAGTTTTTAAAAGATTTAAAATACAATTAAAACAACTAACAGTTCTTCTGAGCTTTACTGTAGGACATTTTTACTGGTGTAGTTGTAAACTAGTTGTACAATGCACACAAAATACTAGCATAACTGAGCAATGAGGTTCTTAGACTGCAGTCATCATTATGCATAAAAAAAGGTCGCTATTAGGGCAATATTTCAACAACCGAGCACTCTATCCTCATAATATAAGGCAAAGAATACAATTTTAAACTCTAGTGTTTGGCCTTGAGGCAGTTCCACGTTTTTTAAGGAACAAGGCACTGAAAGCTGCTTAGTGGGCCCTGCAGTGCAGATTTGCATTTCACCACTCAGGGAATTACAGCAAGCAAATGAACAGGAAGGGTGGAGGGGTGACTGTGGGGGATTAGGGCTGTAACAGGCTTAAGAGAAAGGTTGAAGGATATTTCTGTGGCATCTAATTTGAACTACAGCAGACACAGTGCAGTTATAGGTGTCTGTGTATTCTCCACCTCCTGAAACACCCCACCAGACAGAGTAAATACATATGGATTAAGTATACAACACTAGATTGGCTGAAAGTGAGGTACTAAGGTTTAGAGAACAGGGCACTATCTCACTAACCAGAGCAATGGGCACAATTTTAAGCAAATTTTGGATGTTATTCTGTAATGTGCTTACTTATGTAATTGCTTTGTATACCTAACAACAACAAACAAACACAACAAGAGATGATGATGTGAAACTTGCTTAAGGCGAAGTTCACAAAGCGAGGCATTGGGTCATCCACAGCTCGCAGACAACAACAAACCAGGCTCATTATCCAAAGTGATCATCTATTCTTATGTATAAATATACTCTACCACTATAAATCTCTAAGGTGAAACAGATTCCAATGATGACATGTTTTCATGAAGGTAAAATGTACCATGATGTAATAAGCATGATTAAGTGCCATAAATCCATAAGGGTAACACTGGGAATTGGGTCAATGCGTCATAAAGTATGTTAGCATTTGCTATTGCGCTTGGACATGCCCTTGCATTATTAGAAAAGATCACAAATTAGAGGATCACCTGCCCAGTATGAGGCACGAAGCAACACCACGCCAAAGCACCATACAATTATGTGTAACACCTGCTGCCTATATGAGAGTTTGATAAATCATTGTAGGTAGCACGCATATTATGTGATGCAACAACAGAGGGGGCATGGATGTAATTAAATGTTTTATAACTACTGTATCATGCACACATGTCTCTTTGGTAATGCCTAAGAGAGTAAATGACATTCAAGTGGAGGCAAATGGTATTCAAGAGGATGCAACACTGTGACTCATCATTTCTTTTTAACAAAGCCACACTAACCAAGGCTGTCTTTCTTCCCTTATTAACAGGAGTGAGTATTTCAGCCAATCAGGATGTGGAGACAGACATGGAGACCTTCCAGATGGAGATTGATAAGGAGAGCAAAAAGTCTATGTTCAGGACCAATGGCGGATCCTACTGGACTTTAGTGACTCACGGAGAGATCCAGTCCACCGCTACAGAAGTGTAAGTAGCTCTAACGGCTTTAAAAGAGGAACTTTCTCACATGTTTTCACATATCTCTTACCTGAACCCCTCCATCTGCCCATCCATGTATTTTTTTTCCCTCAGAGAGGTCAAC